AGAACTGGAATAAAAAACTGAAATTGATAAATTACAAACAAGAAATATACTGAACTATAACGGAACAATACTGAACACAACTTAAATCGTTAAGTTCATCGTTCGGAGTGAACTATACTGGACATGAAATTAGTATCTGAAATTAGTGCTATGTGGTGATGTTTTTTCCTTTTAATACTCATCGGATTACTTTCCAGTTTTCTGGAATTGTAGGTGCTGCTCTCATCCGTTGAGTAACTCTAGAAGTGAGCAAGTGCCACCGGTACTATTTGCGATTTTTTTATGAGTGCTTATAGTCCTATAACTGGTTCCTTACATGTATCATTTTTCATTAGTGTTGAATAGCTCTTCTTTACCCCCCAAAAAGACAACTTGTGGATTTCTGCTATTTCTTCAGATATTTTACCTGTATTTAATTTTTGGATGGATAGGTGGAAGCTAAGAAGCAAACTTTGTCCTCATTTGATGAGTTGTTGGAGAAGGAGAAGTCTGAGAAGCCTTTATTATTTAACTTCTATGCAACTTGGTAAGTCACTTACTGGAAGTAGTAGTGAAAGTGCCGGTCCCAAATGTGATGCTGAGCTAGTTCAGTACTCTCTACTAGATATAAGTTCTCTCCATTATTGTTGTGTTTTTAGGACTTTGGTGTGTTTTCATGTTCCTGTCGCTGGGCTGTAATGGCTAGCTGATGAGCATGAAAACATGAAGCCTGAGCAAGTTGTTGCTACTACTCGATGTGAAACACAATAGTTGCAGGAAACAAAGGAACAAACGAGCCAATATGATTGTTGTTATAGATCGATGGACTGCACAACAAAAAAATATAAACACTACCACACCTAACTATAGGTGTTTAGCTAAACTGCACAGATCAATTGCAATAGGTGGTAAGTAGTGCATGTTCACTAACTAAAATATATATGTGATACATGAACACTTATCACCCTTTCTTGTAATGCTAGCATCAAAAATTAAAATCTAGCAAAAAGTAATGTCAATAGCATTTGAGTAGCTTGCCATAACAAGATAACTGAATGAAGTTTCATTCTTAAGTAACTTGCCACAAAGAGATAATCTAAATCGCTAGAGAAAATTGGGTACACTATGATAAAAATAAGAAACTAGGGGATTGCAGAATCATCAATAACAACAGCAAGGATAAACCAAAAATTGCAAACCCTAGGTGACATGACAGAAGCTTATATAGCAACATAAAAAGGCACTGCAGGAAGAACTGAAGGAATAGGATTTGAGGTGTACTCATATCGAACACAACGCACGAACAGACCGCAACAGCGGGAGAAGCAGCAAGAAGGGATCTGTAGAACAAAGCACAACAGGGGACGTGGCTGAGAAGAAGACATACCAGCTCGGTTCGACGGCGGCAGGACAGAGAGCGGTGGCGAGACCTAGAGCGGTGGAGGGACTGAGATTGGCGCTTAGCATGGCATCACCGGGCGACGGCTGCGACCGAGCAAAATGGTGGAGCATCTCGGCTTCTACGACTAGGAGTGCCATGACCACAGCTTGCTCGCTCATCTCGTCTCGGACATTGATTCCGGCCTTCCGGGTTTGGAGCACAGTCTTGCGAACGGAGGAGGAGGAGACACCTGGATTGGGGGTTGGTGCTTGGGGCTAGGGAGGCGAAGGCCAGTGCTGGGCTGGCCCGTTGCTGAGGGGTGTCGCGCGGTGGAGACCGAGCGCGACCGGTCGCCTGATAGACTTTACGTTAATACAATCCTTCTTTAATCTAAAAAAAGGTGGGCTTTGGTGAGTCTTGGAGGAGCATCTTATTTTTCCTTAACTGTAGAGAGATCTTATATTTACCATCTTTTGAATTTATTGGTCGGCACCAATATGTGATTTGGTGTTTTGGGAGAGAGTTAATTCACCATTTCACCTACAATACTTTATAATATAGGACAAATATTGAGTTCTTAAGTACTTTTATAATTAAAATTCCTCCTCGTTTTATTCCTGGCTAGATAACAGAGATTCTATACATATAATATATGTTTTACAACACGTATTTGAACTAACTAACACACCTGTAGGGATGCTATATATACTTCATCTTACTATTACTAATTAGAGGCCCAACGGAGGCACCACGTTGATTCTCACCAAACATGTTAGCAAAAAAGATAAATCCTAGAAATTCTCACAATAATCAGAAACATTTGTCCTTTAATTTGATAGACTATAATCATCAGCACCGATATTAGCCGTTGGATCTATTGTAGTTTATTAAAAAATTACCCACCACTACCATTATAAACAATACATAAAGTAACCTCCTAATTTTGCATGTAAATTACCCACCTCTGCCATTACAAAAGATAATTAAAAATAGCCCCTTATATTTTTATAGAAATTACCCATGTCTGCTATTATGAAAAATAATTCAAAATAACCCCTAAATTTGCATCTAAATTTCCCACCATAGCCATTATGAAAAATAATTTAAAATAACCCTCTAACATTGCGTCTAAATTACCCAGCTTTGTCAATATGAAAGATAATTTAAAATAATCCGCTAACTTTGTATCTAAATTTACCCACATCTACCATTGTCAAAAAAATTACCCGCATCTACCATTATGAAAGATAATTTAAAATACATCCTAATTAAAGATAATACAGAGTAATATTCTAAGTTTGTATTTAACCTATCCATATATGTCGTTGTGAAAGATAATAAAAGGTATTACCTTTATATTTGTGTGTACCTTAGCCATTATAAAAAATACGCAAAAAAAATTCTAAAATCTACACATAAATAGAAATATATATTATTAGAAAAAATTAATTCAATATAATAAAGTATGATATATACATATCTAAATTAATTACAGAGTTATGTAATCATGAAATAAAATAACTATAATGTTATGTTCCACCATGTATGTCAAATAAACGTGTATTCATTAGGATAAATATTTATTTTAATAACTTATGAAACATGGAAAATTGTTCAGTTAACAAACCAGGTAGCAATAACACTCTATATTAATACTCCATGATAATAAATTTCATAAATTATTATTTTACATAAGTTTATATATTTTTACTGAAACATTGTGTCAATATTATTAATTTAATTTTATGCACTCTATGATATATATAAATAAAACTACACACATATAATCATGTGATATAACAAGTGTCAGGATGCAAGCCAAGTTTCAACTTATATGGAAAACAGTACTCCTAGGATATAGACTCTTTTAAATAAAAATCAATTTTTAATAAAATATAAAGAATACTAGAATATCTAATTAACATGTAAAAAAATTGTAGCTTAATTAAAAGTTAAAAGATAAACTATAGGTTTATCAAGAGTTTATATATCTCAGGACTAGATTTCAATTAAATACATATCACGCCAAAAAAAAGATAAATGCTAGAAATTTTAAGTAGAGGTCCCCACTAGGGCCTGCATGTTAATCCTCACAAGACTTGATTTGAAAACAAAAGATAGATCTTAGAAATTCTCATAAAAGTCTAAAATATCTTACCATCAATAATAATAATAGCTATTGGATCTATTCTATTTTCTAAATAACTATCCTTTTGTGCTATCTTGTAAAACAATATAAATGACTCTAATTTATGTTACCCCTATATGTCATTAAAAAACATGATCTAAAGTAGACCTAAATTTGCAATTAAGTACCGACGTCTTCTTATTATGATCGATAAATTACGTAACTCAATGTTCATCTAATTATTAGAAAAATTAGATGCCCCCAAAATCTGCATCTAAATTATCAACATCTCCTATTATTACAAAAAATTGCTTAGATAACAAATAGATCGTGTATATGTTTCCACATTACAAACCTCTATCAATATTAGTATAGTACGATTGGATTAAAGTAAATATATGGATCGTGCCAACATGCATGAGCTACAAAATACATTTGTTATGTTTCATCACACAAATAATATTTTTTAATAACTCAAATCAAATGATACTAACAAATTATTTAAAACCACATTAGTAACCATAAAATACAATTTAAGAGATTATTACTTTAGATATATTTATGTATTTTAACTAAATATTTGACATGTCTATATTGATAGTATAACTATAACTGTAAATATAATTCCTTGATAGTAAAATTCAATCATCTTTAGAAGTGTGGGAGACCACTGGTGGCTATATTTTTTGGCCCTTTAAAAACACTTTAGAGTAAAAATTGTTCATTACAAAGTTTAAGTATTAAAATTCTCTTGACGTTAGCACTGCTACCTCAGTCCGAGATCTCACTTCAAGCTCTATGACTTATATTAAGCAATATGGTGCATGCTTCAAATAATGGCTTATGCTATTGTAGTACTTAAGAACATACTCTACGATCTAAAATCCTTATTTTAAAAAGTGTAAAAAGAAGAGTTAATGAAATATACAATAAGCACAAGAGTTTCAAATTAACATGACGAGAGAGAAAAATCCGTAGGAGTAGATAAGAATAAAATTTGAAAAATCAAAATTTAAATTCATTACTTCATAAGATATACGAACATGGTGTAACAAGAGCCACCATAATTAATGGTAAGGTTTCAAAGTAATTGCATATTTAAAATATATAGAGGTGCCATGCAAAGAAAAAAATATGAATATGAATAAAAATATATAGATTAGTCCCTTGAAGAAATAATAATTAATAAGTTTATGATAACTATATATTGGCTACAGAGTATCTATTATGTCTACTATGTTAGAAAATAAATAAAGAGAAAATATACAATTTAATATAAGTAATTCTTTAGTAGTCGGATGTACTCTCTCCATTTCAAATTATAAGACGTTTTGAGTTTTCTAATTACATATCTTTTGATTCACGTACATGTACAGTCTATATACATAGTAAAAATAATATATTTAGAAAAGCCAAAATATCTTATAATTTAGAATAAACGGATAATTAAACAGTACCTAATAATACCTATATCCGCTAAATTCTAAGCCATGCGTTGATGGACTAGTTTTTCTAAAGGGGAGAAGGTGCAGGTGAGGTGGCCAGTCGCACCTGCTCGCTGTCGGACTTTGCACGTATAAAAAGAATAACGACGTACGCTGATAAACTTGTAACCCAAAACACAATCAAGTTGAGAACGATAGCGCCGGCGAGCGGATACTGCCGCTTGATGACGTGCGGTGCTTTCAATCGCTTGTACTGACGTAGAAACCTCCAGACTGTGCGTACCCCAGTGTGAGGCCCGATCCACTTGACGATGAACATGGTCAGGAAATGGATGGCCGTGTAGATCGCCAACAGCACGTAGAAGAAGGCCTCTCTTGCGCTCACCACGGCTGTCAGCGCCGCGAAGAAGGCCAGCAAAAGGCTCACGAGCGACACCCACATGCAGTGCAGCGCCAGCACAAAGCTCTTCCACGAGCCCGCCGAGCGCGACGCCTTGCCGTAGACGAGCAGGACCACGGCGACCACGGACGTCGCCACCGCCACGGTGTCCAGGCAGAGGAACCACTTGAAGAAGACCTTGCGAGCGAGGATGGCCTCGCCCGTGGTGCCGTTGTACCCGCCGGGCAGGTTGAACCCTGCGGCGAACGCGGAGGAGGCAATGAGCACGGCTATTAGGGCGAGGCTGTCGGAGGTCTTGTCTATCCCCTGCCACCCCGCCGCCGTAGCCGCGTCGTTGCCGCCGCTCCACCTCCACGGCTTCAGGTGGTCCTGCCTCTGCGGCCGGAGCTGCGCCCCGTAGGCGACCAGTGTCACCACCAGGCTTACCATGGTGAAGAAGTTGGTCGATCCCGCGGCGAGATCGAAAGCCGTGTGCCCGTCGTTGTTCAGGACGTTGGTCCTCACCTTGCCCTTCCGGAGCAGGTCCTTCACGACGCTGTGCGCGCCCGCGGCCACAGCGAGGTGGAGCGGCGTGTTCCCGTCCCTATCCTGCGTGTCTAGGTGGCCGCGCTGGAAGGCGGTAGTGGTGGCTAGAGCCACCACGTTGGAGCGCTTCTCCCTGGCCGCGGTGTGCACGAAGGTCCTGCCGTCGTCGTCACGGAGCTCGATAGCGTCGGGGCATCTCCGTACCATTTCCACCACTATGCCGGCGTGGCCCATTCGCGCCGCGACGTGAAGAGCTGACTGACCGCCCGAATCCTTCTTATACATCGTTCGCGTCGGGGGCGCGGTGCTCAGGATTGCGCGCACGATGGTGAGGTCGCCGTTGGACGACGCGAAGTGGAGCGGGGTGCTGCCACTGGAGTCGACTTGGTCCACCAGTTCCGGGCTCCATTTCAGTAGCAGCTCAACCATTTCTGTAGGTGGCCAGCGTTAGAATTTATATATAATTCTTTTTCGCAAGTCTGTCTCAAAAGATGTTTTTCTCGTCCAAAATCTATAATTACTAACATTTATGATATCAAATAAATATTATTATAATAATTATGATGTACTTTATAGAAAATCTTTAGTATTTGGAAAACTTAACTTTAATCAAAACTAGAATTGCATTTTTTAAGATAACTTTAATCAAAACTATAATTGCATTATTTTAGTATGGTACGGGGTAATCTCTCTCTCCTATAATCCTCAACCCACTGACATTCTTCCTCTACCTGATGCTGTAATCTGTCAGCCTCATCAACCCACTAGCACTAATTATTATAACTCACTAGCACGTGCATTTGTGATATGCACGCCATCCACTAGCATGCATTTAGGTGTCTACATAAGCATGCTACATCATCCATTCACATTAATTTATAATGATTTATTCTTTTATATAAGTAATTATATGTAATCTAATTTCATTCTAAATCATATGTAATTTCCGCAGCAACACGCAAGATATGCTTCTAGTAATCTTTATACTATGCACCCAATGCAACAAGAACCATGATCATTAGGGTGGGACACGACTTAAAGAAAAGATGCCAACAAGAACCTAACCTGTGCTGTGGAAAACGGCAGCGTGCAGAGCATTCTGCGAGCTCGGCCCGGCAGATGACGCGGCCCGGCATGTCGTAATCGCTCTCACAGCTTCCAACGACCCGCTGATTACCGCCAAATACATCGCCGACACGCCTGCGTTGTTCAGCTCCGCCGCCAGCTCCGCCGCCTCCATGACAAGCGCCTCTACCGCAGCGCCATGCCCGTGCCTCGCCGCCAGGAGCAGGGCCGTGTCCCCTGCCTCGTTCTTGCATCCCAGGATGCTCTCGCCGCAGTCCCGGGCCAGCTGGGCGAGCATCTTGACGGCCGTGGCGTGCCCAGCCCTTGCCGCGGAGTGCAGCGGCGTGTCCAGCGCTAAGTTCCGGCGAGAGAGCAGGCCCTGATGATCCCGGAACCTGAGGCACAGCTCCCGGATCAGCTCATGGTGCCCTTGCGCCGCAGCCACATGTAGCACGGTGTTCCTCCCAGCAGTCACCTCGTGTATGCTGCACTGTCCATGCTTATAGATGCCTGAAAGAGATAAAATACGCAAATTATTAAATAACCAAGATTATTGGTCACGGACTCATGGTTCTACCAACCCCGTGGTCCCGTACAAGCCAGAGAAGACATAAGACGTGTTTGGGACCGCGTCAAAACAATCATCAGCATGGAGAATCAATGATGTTTGGCAATCTTGATTATTATAGCAATCGGGAGTATAAAATGACATTTATGCCTTTCTTCAAATCACCATCCGTTTTGTGTTCATTACTATGCAGGGAGGCGCCTCCATCCTCGGACTGAGTGGAGGCGGGAAGAAGATAGGGAGCCGACAGGAGCCACGAGCTCCTACGCCTCCGTCGAGGGTGTCTAGGACCTAGCGAACAGGGCGAGTCGATGAAGTAGATGGGAGCGCCCCTCACCGAGAGTAGTGTGGGGTCGCCTCCTACCCAGCGCAAAGGTCCACCTCCACAGCGCAGGGAAGCGGACGGGAGCACCGTGGGTAGCAGAAACTGAGTGTCGACGGCTGGGTGAGGCAGAGCGGAGGGGTAGTTGGGGGAAAATCTCGCGGTGGACAAAACGCCGGTGCTAGTTGAAACCTGAATTGTTTTGATCGCCTGATTCCCAAACAATAAAAAATAATCGAGTCCGTTTGGGTGGGATTCTCGATTATTTTCATTTAGAATCCGGTTATAAGCAGTCCCAAACATGTCCATAAACACTAGTTATTGTTTATTACATCGACTAATAAAAATTACTTATATTAAATTCTAACACGATAGGCATAATAGGTACTCCTACACTGTAGTCTCTATTCAGTTATTCCCTTTCCTTGGTATCTCTGTATTTTCAATATGCATGTAGTTTAGCTTATAAACTATAATGGTTCTTATGATGTTCTGAATCTAAAATTTGATTTTCAAATTTTAATCTTATAGATTGCTATAGATAATTTTTAATCTCAATTAAGTTGAAACTCTTATGCTTATTATATATTTTATTAACTCTCCTATGCAATTCTTTTGAAAATAAGTATGTTGGGTCATGGACATCAGTCATTTAAAACTTGTACCCTGTCACAAGATTAGTGGTAGAATTTGAAGTCAGATCTAGGATAAGGTAGCAATGCTAACCTCAAGATCATATTAATATTTGAGCCTTGTTATTATTGGTTACTCTAAAGAAATCTCAAAGACTAGAAGGATGGCCACCTGTGGCTGTAGTCTGCATTAACCTCCCCTCCCTCCACTTCTCAAGATGTTTGAATTTTTTTATCAAGGAATTAAATATAGATATGTCAGACATAGTTCAAATGTATAAATATGTTTAAATTAACAACTTACAAAAATTATATGTCATATTTATCAATATAATTTTAAATAATTTGATAGAATCATTACTATATGAGTAGTTATGGAAATATTTTTATGATTGTGAAAACATATATTCATGGGTTAATTTATATTGCTTTATATAATCGTAGAGGTGGGTAATGATTTTGGAAATAGAATAGATTCAATGTGTGATTAGATCAGAGGCTACCAAATTGATGACCAGATGTTTCTATTCTTGTGAGAATTTCTAAGTTTTATCTTTTGTTTTTATATGAGTTCTTGTGAGTATTAACATGGAGGAACCATCGATGACCTCTAGTTATAATTTCTAGAATTTATTTTGTTTCTTCTAGTGCGAGATGTAGACAGCTAAACCTAATATTGATGTATATAATCTCTTGTTACATCACTTTATGTGACGTCGTGAACCTGAGTTTAGCTTTTGACTAGTATATTTGTTGCATCATGTTCAGGTAAAACTCCATTACTTATTGTATCTTTTAAAATTTTATTTTTTATTTCATAAAACAAGATTATACATCCTAGGATACCCTCTTAGTTCTTTCAATGGCACAAATTGTCCTTCCAACTTGCACCATGACACTTAGCATACATAATTTTTTATATCATAGAATTATATGTGTAACAATATTTATAAAACATAGAATGCTTAAAATTATATTACAAATACTAATATGACATAATGTTTTGGTCAAAATTGTATGCACTTATTTAAAATAAAAACTTTTAAAACTTATTATCATGCACTACTAATATAGCTTAAAGAGTTGAAGTGAATTGCTAGTGTTATTACTATATAGATTCTAAGAGAACATTTTTTCCACACTTGATAAGCTACTAAAATAAATATTTATTCTAATGTATACGTGTCTATTTAATCTATTTCATGGAACATAGCATTATGCTTACTTTGAACTTAACCGTTGTAGAAGTGTGTAAATTAGAAATATATATCATACTTTGTGGATATTAAATTATCTTGCCTAATAGCTTATATTAGTATTTACATATAGATTTCAGAGATACTTTTGTTTATTTTATAACAGATGTGGTGCTTAATTTAGATACAAAATAAAATGTTTAATTTAGGAGTAAACTTAGGGGGTGTTACTTTTCATTATCATTCATAATGTCAAAAGTGGGTAATCTATAAAAAAGTACTAGGGGTCATTTTTAATTTATATTTCACAATGATATAGAAGGTAATTTAGATACAAAGTTAAGGAGCTATTTTGAATTATCTTTCAGAATGGCAGATGTGGATAATTTAGATGCAAACTTAGAGGATTATTTTGAATTATCTTTTGTAATGATAGAGGTTGGTAATTTATATAAAAATTTAGAGGGTTATTTGAATTATCTTTCACAGTGACGGAGTTGGGTAATTTAGATGCAAATTGGGGGTATTTTGGATTATCTAACATAATGACATAGATGGGTAATTTATAAAAAAAATAAGGGGTTATTTTGAATTATCCTTCCTAATTGTGGAGGTGGGCAATTTAAAAGATCCAATGGCAATTCTTGGTGATGATGATTATAATCTAACAAATTAAAACAAATTGTTCCTAATTATATTTTGTCAAAATTTCTAGATGTATCTTTTTTCTAGCATGCCTAATGAGAATTAATGTGGAGATTTTGTTAGTCCCCTAATTTCTAATAGTAAGATACAATGAGCCCAACCCGGTCAAATTAAAATGTCGATTTCCTCGCAAAAAAAATTAAAATGTCGATTGTTTTTTGGTTTGCTGAATGTTAGGTGTAAGTGGTATAGTACCCAGGATTTTATATGCAGGACAACCAATTTCTATCATGAAATCACTCATCCATACTGCCCTCAACATGTGGGGCTCTTCTTCCACGATGCTGGGCAAACTTTATAAGTCCCATGACGGCTTATTTAAATTTGAACATTAGTTTGAATAGAAAAGTTTCACAAATTTATCATGAGGATACAGATAGAAACTAACTTCATATCAAATTATAGTTTTTAATGAAATCTATAACTTTGGATTTATTTCTATTTGAAGTTGTTTACATGTGTGCAAATAATCTACCAAAGTTTTGAAAAACAAGGTTGAAAGGAAAAAATATTACATTGCTATCAGCAATTTATGTGGGGTCTGAGGCTAGTCTATGAGAATTTTATGGGTTTTAAATAAGATGACATGGTATAATATAGATGAAGGGAGAGATAATAAAAGTTCTATGAGATAAAATGAGTTTCATGGTGATAAAATTTGTCGACACTGTTTTCAGCACATACATAGGAGAGTGTTGCAAACTGGGATATGAAATCCCCACTGAGACTGGACAAATCTCACCAATTGTGCATTGAAAAACATTGCGAGCCTACAGGTGTCTCAATAAAGACAAACGCATGCACGCGCGCACACACAAACACTTCTTTGTCTTGTTTTCTATGTGAAAAAAGGGTCGTCACAATTGCATTAGTTAGTAACAAAAACAAATTTATATATCCTAACTAACCTATAGTTCTCCATTAGACATGCATGTAGCCACCTGACATGGCAAAGTAAAACCTAGGTGACAAGGATACGTAATGTAGAAAGATAGGTAAAGCGACATATACAGTTGGACCATCATATTATCCCAAACAAGTATATACATGATTAAAGCGTTATAAAGGATAAAATACAATATGATAAGGACACTTGCCTGTCTCAAATACTTCAAACTCTTTTTCTTGCATGTCCACAATCAACTCCCCTTCTGATCAACGCAAGCATCCAACGCAACATGCAAGTACACGTATAAGGGGAAAAAAAGACCAGACATGAACACGGCACAAAGGAAAAGGTTATTAAACTGCATCAGCAACAGCAAGAATCGCTAAGAATTGAGTTATTAAACCGTGAAAGTTATGACAGGCCTTACTATGCACAAAACCAAAATGTTATATCGTATCAAACTGCTTCCGGTGAAGGTTTGACACTACTACAAAATGATTTTAAGAGAAAACTCTTTTTATTTATAGAATTGGCAAAAGGAGTCCATGTCTCTAAAAATAGCCAGCAATTTTAAAAATGGATGAACCATTCATGGAGACACTTAATAAACTACCGTCTCCTAAAATGAATTAACAGAGGCGGATCCTTTAAGTTGACCACCTCTGAAAACGAGGGAGATTTTCAGAGTCAGCTAAAGGCTATTATTGAGGTCTAGCCTGCTTCTACCTGTTATACATTCGTTTTATCCTACGGTTAGACACTTAGACTCATAGTATATAAGAGAGGGGAGAGAAACCCTAGGCCACTCCTTAGCTTCTCCAGGAACTTGGTAAATGAACTCCCTATTTGAGTTTTTTTTTTGGTAAAAAGGAAAAACAGACTCCTCCAACAACTCGGTAAAACAACTCTTAAAAATAAGAAGTTGCTAAATCTCCCCAGACTCGTAACTTCTAGCACTCACAGAAACTCCATAGTCGCCCGTGTTATGTGTTTTCCCCCAGTGTTTGACCCCGCCTCTTCCGCGTTGATTTGGGCAACCACGCTGTTGCCGACCTACTGGCTGCCCCTGCATCCCAACTCCTACCGTTGCCATGCTCCCTGCCAATCGTTTCCTTGCTAGGCCCAAATTGAAAAGGCAGAAAAAAATTAGTAAGATCATGCATGAATTGTGTCAGCTTGGTTGAATGTTAGCAAAGATCCAATGATTAGAACCAATCAAACTCACTGGCTGAGCAAGGAGGGGCAACGACGCCTGCTAAGGCGGTCAAAAATGCCTAATAATGAGAGTTGGAGCTACAGGGATGTCGTGCGGACCTAAAATTGCTGCACAAACAATATGTGGTCTTTTTTTTTGTTTCAGCAAGTTCATATAGAAAACTCGTGTAGAAGTAGATAAATCGAGTCTGCTACTTATTTTGTTAACATGCTAAAGTCAATATTTCAGCAAGTAAATTATACAAAGATGTTCTAATGCCGCACATTTCTATTATCCCTTTGTCCCAGATTCATAAACATCACCCAATGCCACCACCCTCCACCTCACTCTAGTTGGTGCGGAGGCAGACCTCTCTCTGCTTGGAGGCGGTGGCGACCACGCACGTACGTGGAGGAGCTCATGCACCCGTAGGTAAGGTTGCAAATGGTACTGATATTTTTTTTTTTACCATATTCGAGACCGAGTCCATTTAGAGGAGTTCAGTTATGTCCATATCTGAGTCCGGATATTCAACATCTAATACCGTATCCGTATCTGAATACTCAAATCGCATATTTATGATGTCAATATCTAATCGTACCCTATCCGACATAGCTGACACTATCCGTATTTGAATCCAAATAGAAGTATGAAAACACAGATATAATATCAGTGATATCCGTCCATATCCAATCCGTCTGCATCCCTACCTGTAGGGAGATGAAGATGAAATGGATTCTTTGTATCGGCATCTGGAGCACCGATTCGTCATTACTGGTACAACTTTGCCTACTCTCCTCACTACTAGAAACTAGAGATTTCGTGAGGGGGATAGTTTTTCGTGAGAGTGGCAAACACACTCATGAAAATAATCGTTTTCATGAGGGTGATGTAAATCTCGCCACGGAAACTTATTTTCATGAGAGTGTTTCACACACCGTCATGAAAATCAGCTGTTTTCGTGAGAGTACTTGAATACCCCCATGAAAATGACTATCCCGCCACGAAATTGTCTATTTTCATGAGAGTGATTATTTTCATGAGAGTCAAATTCCACCGTCATGAAATATGGGTAGTTGGTTTTCAGTACAAAAATAATTGCTTAAATATAGAAATTGAAGAACATGAATAAAAGTTTTCTTTTTTTAATCTGCAGCGAAATTTTGTAACTAGTCTTTCTCCCGCACGCTAACTCCAAATGTGGTGATTCTTTTTCCTAAATGTTTCTAAAATCATGCTCTATCAATTTATTGTGTTCTTACAGCTACTATTTTTGTCATCTTTTCATGTGACTTTATTCTATCAATTCAAAATTTGAATTTTAAAAAATGACAACTTCAAACAACATTTCGAAGTAGTAAATGGTTTCAGCTGAAAAAGTCACAAACATAAAAGTTGTACAACTCATCAAGATCTACAACTTTTATTTTGGTCATTTGTTCATCCGACAAAATAATAGTAACATTGTTCATAAATTTTACATATCTCTCATTGTTCACAAATTTTATATATCTCATTGTTTTATGAGAGAGATGTAAAATTTGTGAACAATGTTACTATAACTTTGTCGGATAAACAAATAACCAAAATAAAAGTTATAGATCTTAATGAGTTGTACAACTTTTATGTTCGTAACTTTTTCAGCTGAAATCATTTACTCTTTGAAACTATTGTTTCAATTTGATATTTTTTGAAATTCAAATTTTGAATTGTTCAAACAAAGGAGGATGGAGAGATGACCAAAACAAAAGTTGTAGATATCGTTGAATTCTATAACTTTGTTTTTGACGACTGTTTCATTTGAAACCATTTACTTTATCATAATATTGTTTGAAGTTTTCATATTTTGAAATTCAAATTTGAATTGTTGAAACAAAGTCGGATGGAGAGATGACCAAAACAAAAGTTGTAGATCTCGATGATTTTTCAAACTTTGTAGCAGACATTTTTTCCATTTGAATTCATTTACAGTTTACAAAACTAATTGCAATAGTAACTATGAACTTTACTAGAAATTAAAAATAAAAATAACACAAGACAGTAATGGGCCTAAACCTCGATATGAACCCGTTACTATGCCCAGCCCATAATTGCTGGCCATCGATTCAAGATCTAACGGCCTTCGTTACGCCCATGGAATATAAAATGGAGTGAAACCCTAGCCCTCTCCCCACAGCCCCGCACACCGCCGCGCCCCTCGCCGCATCCCGCAGCCCTGCACCGCGCCGCGCCCTCTCCCCAACCCCGCACCGCGTCCTCCCCACAGCCCTGCACCGCACCCCTCGCCGCAACCCGTAGCCCCGCACCGAGCCCTCTCCCCACATCCCCGCGGTGCTCAGGCGTGGATCCGGCGAGGGAGGCATGGAGCCGGCTATCTGTTCCTCAAGGCATGTCGGCGCAGTCGGGAGGAGGCAGCTGCAGCGGCGGCGAGCGTGAGCCCGGGAGTCGGCGGCGGCGGAGGGCTCTCGACCGCTCCTCCTCTGCAGGCGGTACTTCGTTCTGTGGCCGCCGCTGCACCCATCCGGCAAAACTCGAGCTCACAGGTACATGTACTCGCACGCCCCTGCCTACTTCCTTTACCATTCCGTGTCTGCATTGCGTATACTATGGAAGATTTTTCAGTGTGTACTAGAATGCAGCATTGACTATTGTAGTACTAGAATGGGTAATTACAAAGCAGATATCAAAGGTTCATATATATCTTCGTGAGTTGGCAGTATATGTTGAGAGCCTGAGATTGGCACCTGAAATGATAGTCTAAGAGTAGAGAGTTGAGAGCTAAGTATTGTGCTGAGGTGTTGAATTTCCAGCAGAAAAACATTTGAGAAACAAATCTGAGCAGTAATACTTGAGGAGGTTCCAAAACAAGATGATTTATCAATCATATCATATATATGGAAGACATTAATTTTGTATAAATTATATGATGAAAATATGGTTCTTTTGTTTTCTCCCCTTTTTAATTATGAAAAGAGGCTCTGTTCATCTTTTTTTTCCTTGCAGCTTCCTGGGTTCTTATATCATTATCTCCATAGACTATTGTAATAATTTGATTTACACCGAAAGGCATTAGAGTGGCAAAGCAAACTTTCAGGAGCCAAGTCAGAAGTTAATCTTATTTCTTAGGTTCAATCTAATATTTGGTAAATCAGTTCACTTGTTGCTTCAGTTCTAGCCACTATCTTATTAATATGGAATCAGGACATCATAGCTGTACTAAAATA